CGGCTAAACGTATCAAGTTGTCCTTTGGTTCTTAAGGATTTCTCAACATGCTCTTTCTTTTGTCTAGCGGACACTTTTGTGTAAAATGCTCAAAATTAGGTTTTCTAGAAAACTTACTTTCGAGCATTTTAGACAAAAGAAAGAACACGTCGAGAAATCCTTAAGAACCAGAGGACAACTCGATACGTTCAGCCATTCTCAAGATAGTTTTCTCAGTGAGTACGCCTATTCTAGAATATAATCTTATCGTTTTCTTTTTTTACAATTCTATTGAAAAGAAATGTTGAAGCATAGAGAAAGAAATTTCGATCCATTCTGACATAAAAATTACTCAACTCTTAAAATAACGGCATATTTCGTTTACTATGTGTAAAAAGTTTTGACACATCATTTACACTGGTCTAGGAATCAGCAAAATGATCCCGGGATCAGAACTTTCTTTACCGGAACCGAAACTTACAGATTTTCAGGTTGGTTCCAGTGCTATAAGTTCGTTCCTATCGGGATTGAATTGAAATCAAAATCTAAAATACTGTTCCTTGTTCATGATTAGGTTAATATTGAAAAAAGGAGGATATAATAGACTAAATGGGAATTGATATAACAATAAGGTATCTGAGAGAGAATTATTTTGAACACTATGATAGCAAAAGTGTGGATGTGGCTGTTGGTTATCTATTGACCCACATCCTCAAGTTATTCTAATAGCTTTTCTTTATGTATTAAATAGGTATAACAACAAATAAAGAAATTCTTCGTTTATTAAATGAATATGCATCTGATTCAAGTTTAATAAAGTCTGTTATTAAACCTTTATGGGATAGTCGACCTCATCCAGATGTTCGTGCTTGTCTTATTTTAACATTACTTAATTTTATTGATAAATTACATTTAAATGATGAGAAAATAATAATCTGGAAAATTTTAGAAGAAGCAGCAGATGATAATTATCTTCCAGTTGTTCAATCTTTATTTTCAGCTCATCGAGGAAATTCTCGTTGGCCATTATCTCGATTAGAAAATTCTTCTGATAATATTTTTCAAATATTTATTAATCGAATTCAATTTAGAATATTGGATCATCCAACATCATTAGAAGCACGTTTATGGGCTTGGTCAAACATTAATTATGAGCATTGTGATATACCGAAATTAATTGAAAAAAGTAAACAATTATGTATTCAATTTGATAAAGCTGCAAATACCTTATGGGAAAAAGCATTTAATCAAATAATTTTATCTTATAGACAGAAAAAAATGTAAGTTGAAGCAAAATTTATTTTAATAGAAAAAAAATTGCTTTTTTTTCAATAGATCATCATCATCATCAGATGTAATTGCTGATATTATTAAAAAATTGATATCTCGTCGAGAAGAAATTGATTCGAAAGAA